GGCCCCCGGGGGCCCCCCGCCGCCGCCAGCGCCATGGCCGCCGCCGGACGTCCGCCAGGAGCGGGGAGGAGGAGGAGGAGGAGGAGGAAGAAGGAGGAGACCGCGCCGCTTTCCCTGCGGCGTGGAACAGGGCGGCCGCGGCGCGGGGGATGGCCGCCTGGAGATCCGTGTTACAAACCGGCTTCGAGTTCCCGCACCGCCGATGCTTTATTGCTTTTCCCCCTCTTTAAAAGGCTTATTACTGGAAGTGGACCACGTCTTCCCGCGGAGCCGGGCGCCTGGAGGGCGCTCCCAGCAGGGCGGGACCCTCCGGCGCGGCGGTGGTGAGCGGGGAGCAGCGCGGGAAGGACGGCCCCTCTACTCTGCTCTCGTGAGACCCCACCTGGAATACTGTGTTCAGCTCTGGAGTCCCCAACACAAGAAGGACATAGAGCTACTGGAACGAGTCCAGAGGAGGGCCACGAAGATGATCCGAGGGCTGGAGCGCCTCTGCTATGAAGACAGGCTGAGCGAGTTGGGGCTGTTCAGCCTGGAGAAGAGAAGGCTCCAGGGTGATCTTATAGCAGCTTTCCAGTGCCTAAAGGGGGCCTACAGGAAAGCTGGAGAGGGACTTTTTACAAGGGCGTGTAGTGATAGGACAAGGGGCAATGGATTTAAACTGAAAAAGGGCAGATTTAGGTTTGATATAAGAAAGAAATTTTTCACTCTGAGAGTGGTGAGGCAGTGGAACAGGTTGCCCAGAGAAGTCGTGGATGCCCCATCCCTGGAAGCGTTCAAGGCCAGGTTGGATGAGCCTTTGAGCAACCTGGTGTAGTGGAGGGTTTCCCTGCCCATGGCAGGGGGGTTGGAACTAGATGATCTTTAAGGTCTTTTCCAACCCTAACCATTCTATGATGGACAGCGTTGGGAACCCGCCGACACGGTTCACACCGCCACCGCCACCCCCATACGAGCGGAAATCACATTTAAATAAGGTTTTTAGCTATTCCAAAGCAACACTTCCTTCTTAAGAAAAGGAAATTGACTCTCATGAAAGACGTCATACATACGTATGAGCCATACAATTTGCTAATACTAATGACACACCAATTCTGCTATGAAGATCATCAGCGGCCAGTTTAATCAGCTGATTAAAGGGGGAACAAAAAGTCTTGTGTACAAGAGAAAGACAAAGTTCTTTGGCAGTAAACTCACTTTCTGTGGGCATTTTTCAGCATGATTTACCGTTTGGCAACAACCCCAGCTAACTTGGAGTATCGCATTTGTATCTGAAATTCTTCTCTAAGTCCTGCAGTTTCCAATACCCATTTCGCTTTCCCTGGGAAGATCATTTCACTGGCATCAAGCAGGAGCAGGTGGGTACTGTCACAGCAGCCATTGGCTGTTACAGGTCCTAAGCACGGACTTCGCTTGAAGCTGATTTTCTTCATCTAGTCCATACGCAGTTTTAAAGCTCCAGTGAACCCCAGTATGCAAACATGGATTCAATTTTACATGTGTTCAAGCCCCCTTTGACTTCCAAGCAGACACAAGCTTGCAGGTAATTGCTTCCCTGACAGGAAGAAAATTATATACAAGCTTGATTCTGAGCATGTGCAAACCCAAAACATCCAATTTATCGTCTAGCTGATCATTAGTCTTCAAAAATATAAAACGCCTTCAATTTAACTTTTGTAATTCTACATTTAGATTGATTAAGATTTTTTTTTCTTTCTTCTTGTATGTGCGTGTAAGAAACAAGAACGTGCACACTTTGCCTGATTTTATTATGATCTGTATGCACAAATACAGTTGCTATAAGGTTGCTCATCCATTATTCGAAGTAACTCGGCAGTTTCACAGCCACAGAATTGATACATTTGACTTAATGAAGAAAAAAATTTTTATTTACTCTTAAAAAATAGTCCAAATAAATTGAACATTTGAAAGACTTTTTTCTGATGCATCCTAGATATCTACAGAGGTCAGCACACCGGGCTGAGGGCATCATAAAGCCTCTGTGCAGCCAGTTCCACCATTTCACGAAGGGATTCATCATCTTCACTTCCTGGCTCACAGTCAACTGTCTGGGAAGAAACAAAAAGAAGTATGTTAGAACAACTAGCACTTCATATTCCTTGTCAGCTCGTGAAGAATGCTGATAAGTGGAAAGCAAAAAGTAGTCATGCAAATTGAAAAGAAAGTTATTGAGAGCAGCACTGTGTGTTTTCACATAGTCTGCCAATATGTAGAAGTGTTCCAAGTCCTGCTACGGAACAAGCAGCTTCTTGAGTGTTTAGTTTGATTAATAACTTGTTTCAAAACTACTATGTAAAATGCATTAAGTTCTGTAGATTACATTTAATTCAAAATCAAAACCACAAGCTTCAGTCCTCAGAGATTTCATTTTATCTGTGAATTCACTCACATTGTATTAGGTTAATATTGTAAAACACTTGCATTTGTCACAGAGTACTCACATGGATGTTCCCACACCCTTAAGATAACATTTACATCAAAATAAAACCTCAAAGAGATTCATTTATCACTAAAACAACTTAAAATGCCTTCCTAGAGAAAGATGCCCACCCCAAACATGCAAGTTCATCAACATTCAACCCAATCCCCTGACTGCTCTATCTCAAAAACAAAGGGCAGCATTTGCATAGTAATACTGTTCTTGATCCTGTGGAGTTTCTAGGCTCTAAGATGGTACCTTCTCTAATTCACTATTAACTTGTTACTCTTCTGAACAAGTAATTCCTTTCGACCATAAAGGTTTGGCGGGGGAAAAAAAAAAAGGCACTTGAAGCAGCAAACATGCATTTAATGTTATCTAACAATGCTGTTAAAAGCATGTTAACTGTAAGAGCACTGTGTTAAGAGTTAACGTGGCAAAAATAAATCCCCATGTCCCACCATATAGTCAGATCGATACTGAACAGTTTTTTATTTTAAAGCTATTAAAACTCCGTAAGAAGATATGCATGCACATAGAAAAGGACAGATCTTTCTTGTAAAACTTGGTTCACAAAGGCATGAGCTTGCCATTATGGCAACACAATATGCAAAATAAGTATTTCCAAAGATACACACTGTTGCAGTTGAGTTGCCATTAGGGCTCCCTGTCAGCACACCAGTCTTTTAACAATAAGGACATATATCAGTATAATATTATGTGAAAATGAAACCTAACTTCTTGATTAAGCAGCATGCATTTTTTTCCCAGTCTTGTTACTTTGTTCTCTATTGCAAGAGCTCTTTTCATCAGTCCTGTATTTTTTGTACTACATACACACTGAAACGTAGCATATGTTTATTAAAAACGTGGGAAAAAAGCGACGCAGCAAGCATTGTGTGCCTTGCTGTTTTGATACCAAACACAAAACAGGTACCTGACATTCTAGGCAGCACTGTACGTATACTACATCGGAGACTCACTTCTGCTGAACACAGCGCACACAAAAGCACGTTCTTTGCTGCACATACCCGAGTATCCAGGGAAATGTTTGCAGTCTTGCCGTCAACCGTGACGCACAGCACAGAGTCATCTTTTGAACTCACACAGTCTTCTCCAAACATATCCCTAAAACAAAGATCTGTGCGTGTAAGATGTGGTGAAACAGCGAACGAGCGCTTCTCTTTCTACTCATCATAGGCTTCCAAAGGCATTTTTTTAGCAGAGTATCTCCTTTCAGCAATTATTATTTAACCCACTCAGATATGATTAACAAATACCAACCTAAATTACTAAGAGTGGGTGTCACAAGAGAGTAAATATTTAAAAAAAAAATCATCATAAATGAAGGGAAGGATTCCTTTGATTTCAAAGGAGGTAAGAGTTCTACCTAAATAACGGAACATACATCAGAGTAAGTTTTACACGAGAAGAGATCCAAAATGGTATTTTCATAAGCATTCATAGCATAATGTTGGGAGACAACTTAAAAATTGACTTCTGGAAGAAATAACTGGTCCCTGTATTCAAAACCTTAATGATGCTGAGAATTTTTTTTATTGTACTTCTTTCTTTACTTAATTCCTGGCCTTCGCAGAAATCAGAGTGAATCAAATTTGCACAACGTATTTTTAAGTAACTGTATCTTCAAACTGCATTATATTAAAAATATTGTAGTTATATGATTAACAGTGATCATTGTCCTTTAGAAAAATATATGCCAACTTACTGAAGCATGATCTCCATTCTCTTTCTATACACATCCATATCTACTTTTTTGGAAATTTTATGTACTGCAGCTGAAAAGAAAAAGTCATTTCACTTTCACAGATGTTTGCTGGGAGGCAAAATTGGCTAATTAATACAATCTGGTTCCTAATTCACTTTCATGATAAACAACCCAAAACCTATGCAAGATATACATGTTTAAACATATTATAAAGAAAATGTATTAAAGAAAAGATGGAAGAGTCAAGGAAATACATACATTTATGTTCCCTGTACTGATCAAATTTTAAAATAGAGCTTCACGCATCTAATTCTCACTTCTCACTTCTCAATTCTCCTTTTTATTGTTAACGCTCATTACTTCTCAGATTTCCTTTACTTAAAAATGA